TATATATATATATCAAATTATAAAAAATTTAGTTTGATTTGTAGTACAATAAATCTATAAAAAAAATTGCATAATTAAATAGATATATATTATGATAGTTTTTTTTGGCTAAATGTCTAATTTAATCCCTTATAATATTAAAAAGTTTCAATTTGGTCTCACTTTAATTTTTTATTTTAATTTAGTCCTAATTTATTTTAAAAGATATCAATGTGAGACTTCCGTCCAAATTTCACAAACGGCATTTAAGAGTGTCCAATGTGGAAAACAAATAAATGTTTCATTATTTATTGAAATTCCAACGTGGCTTCCTTTCCCAAACGTGAGAGAAGAATCGTTCACCCACCGTCACCGACGTTTATGAACTCCAAAGGGGACATTCGTGAAGAAGAATCGTTCATGATGAGTGACTCCTAAGAGTGCATTTGTGAAGAAGAAGAAGTCGCGTTTGGATTTTATTCACATCAGATAAGTGTTGTGTTTAGGGTTTTTTGATTTAGGGTTGCATTAAAGGGTCTTCTTGGGCTGTTGTTCATATATAGGTTTCAATTTAGTGTTTGAAATCGTGTGGGACCGAAAATTGGTTTTTTAATAAAGGGTTTTTTATTGTAGGGTTTGATTTTGCTTTTCGTGTGGTCCCGAACAATGGGTTGATGACATCTTGTATTGTCTTTTGCATATGTGGGCATGTATAGATGCATATGTTGGCCCACTGATACAATGATAGACTTATCCTAATTTAAGATAGAGGTTCAAGTATGTTTCCAAGTTTTAAGATGCCCAACAATATGGAAGATTATAAGTGGGAAGTAGGGTTGTATTTTTGGAGTAAAGAACAATTTAAAGAGGCAATTATAACATATGTTGTTCATTCAGGAAAAAATTTTAAATTTACAAAAAATGATAAAAGAAGAATAAGGGTCATATGCAAACAAGGATGTCCATGGGTAGCATATTGTGGCAAAGTACCTTATGAAAAAAGTTGGCAATTAAGGAAGATTGTTGATAGACATACATGCAGTAGGGACCACAATATGACTTTGTTGAGTTCAATGTGGTTAAGTGGAAAACTTAAAACTTCAATTAGGGAGAATCCAAAACTAAGATTGAATGATATTAGACAAATAGTGCAGAGGAAGTGGAATGCTAGCATCTCTAAGTCCATGGCATCAGGTGCAAAAGTTTTGGCCATAACATATCTACTTGCAAGGAAAACCCAAGTAATATGCCAATACCAAATGAAGCATCTCAACCCACCCAACCATGTGAGCCCACCCAACCCTCTGAACCCACCTAATAATTTGAGCCCACCCAACCCTTTCAGCTCACCCAACCCTCTAAACCCACCCAACCTTCTCAACCCACCCAACCTTCTCAACTCACCCAACCCTCCCAGCCCATCCAGCCATCTTAGACATCTAAGGAAAAGAAATCAACAAAGTCATCTCAGTCAAAGAACAATTTCAGGGAGAAGTTGAAGCCTAGGAAAACACGACCACAATGGAAAACATGACAAAGTTAAAGATTATTGTGTGTTGGTTTTATTTTGAAATAGACAGTATTTTGTGTTTAGGGTTTATTGATAATTTATAATGTAGTAGACTTTTGAGACAGTGTTGTGTATGACAATATTAAGTGTTAATTATATGACAATATTTAAGTTTATGAGACTATGCTGTATGACATTATGTATGACAACATTAAGTAAATGTGATAAAAAAAAAATGTGCTAAGTAAGAGCCATGAGAATCACCCCCGTGATTCTCAATCACGCTCGTGATTCCCACAGTGTGAATTACATAAATAAATCTACTAAGTAAGAACCGTGAGAATCACGCCCGTGATTCTCAATCACGTCTGTGATTCCCACCATGTGAATCACATCAATAATGAAGTTAGCGGGAAAACACATAGAAGGGGGGGTTAAATATGTGTGTGTATGAAGTAATTTTCAAATCATTTTCGCAAGAGTAATATACTTCGTCCAATGCACTTTCAAATATCAGACGGTTACCCAAAATTTAATTAACATAAGGTCATTGCGTTTGACAAGTTTATCGACTGCTGAGGAAAATGATTTCTAATAATAATTATTGAAGTTGTTTCACTTTCCTTTTTTAAGATAGTTTTGTTTAATGAAAAGCAGTAGATAAGGCCTTTCAGTGTAATATATTTGTTAAACGAAATTGCGTCTTCGTCTGAAAATGGTTTTTAATAATATGTAAATATTGGACGAAGTCTTTCACAAAGATCTATAAAAAATAATGTTCCTGGTTAAGTAAGAAAAGCAATCCAATCATTTTATACTGGTTTTCTCAACTGAGCTATGTCCAGTCTCCTTCAACTGAAGGGTTCCACTAGATATGCAATTTAATACAAAAGTATTGTCGACCACTTCTGGCCCTGAGTATTCTCGACCACTCCTGGCCTTGAGTATTCTCAAACACTCTTGGCCCGCTAGCTTCACTTACCAGCGCTAGTATTCTTAAACCACTTTTGGTTCTCCAAGTATTCGCGATCACTCCTGACCCGTCGGCTTCACTCACCAACGCTAGTATTCTTAAACCACTTCTGGTTCTCCAAGTATTCTCGACCACTCCTGGCCCGTCGGCTTCACTCACCAACGCTAGTATTTTCTTATCAGCCACTTCTGGCTAGCAGTGAGTATTCTTTGACAAGTCCCTCCGGGCTTTACAAGTATTCTTTTCCTAGCCTCTTCAGGCTTTACACATATTGGCTAGACAGGTTTGGTTTGAGTGTATGGATTACTCTCATAGAGAGGATACATATATGATCTACACTCTCTAAGGTTTCACTACCTTGGTCCTACAGATACTTGTGTTTGAGTGTTTGGGTTACTCTCATGGAGAGGATATATAGGTTTACAACACTCACTAAGGTTCGTCCACATTTGACATTTCAAAACCTTAGTTTTTAGAGATACAAATACAATATTACATTGTACATATGACTATCACCGCTCATCTCTGGACTCTATGTCTTATGGGCTTGATATCACATTCCTTAATCACAATCCTAGGGTAAAGCCTATGATTATTCCTTCATTGCTTTTTGCCAACCTTTTCCGGTTTGATGTTATTGCATACTTATAGGCCTGTAAAATTTGCCCATTGCATATGTCCTTTTGATCTAATATAGTCGGTCATTACTATTTTTATCTTTTCATTTAATTTATTTTGTCTTTCATTAAATTTTTCTTCCTTTTCTTATACATTTCTCTTATTCTTCTCGGTCCTGTTGCAGCAGTGTTTGACTTTATCTGAGACCTAGAAATTATTTGTATTTTTCTGGCCATGCAGCAATATAGTCGTTGTTCTTTTCAGAAAAAGTAATGTACTTTTTCTGACACATGTATGCTTTGTTTTTGCATGTTTCTCTTCTTCTTCGTTCCTTCATTTAGATCATGCGTTTTACGTTGAAAGCTTTTGTGTGATCATAGACGATGCTTTGGGTAGTCTTTTCATTTAATGCATTTGGTCTTACATTAAATGTTGCTTCCTGTTCTTAGACATTGCGTGTATTCTTCTCGGTCCTGTTGCAGCAGTGTTTGACTTTATTTGAGACCTAGAAATTATTTGTATTTTTCTGGTCATGCAGCAATATAGCCGTTGTTCTTTTCAGAAAAAGTAATGTACTTTTTTTGACACATGTATGCTCTGTTTTTGCATGTTTCTCTTCTTCTTCGTTCCTTCATTTAGATCATGCGTTTTACGTTGAAAGCTTTTGTGTGATCATAGACGATGCTTTGGGTAGTCTTTTGAGACTTGATAATGTTTGCGCGATAATCTTCGTCTGCGTCTATTAATCTCATGCGTCTCACGTCTTGTTCTCCATCCGAGTATTTGCCGTTGATGCTTTGGCATCTTATATGATTTTGTCAGCATTACAGACAGACTTGTCTTCGTCCAGAGTATCTTTTAGTTTGTGCTGCTCTTGACCTTGATGCATGATTGACTTTCTTTAGACCTTAGACATATGCCTCGTCTGATTTGTGTTTTAGAATAGTTGTACTTGACACAATTTTGTCTGGATATTTTATGATCATC